TTCTAAAAATTAATCACACCTGCCAACCGAAACAAATGCGGAATTAAATCTATCGGTCTAGCCAAGACTATACCCCTCTATCTAAATTCTCAAGCACCTTATAAAGATCCTAATATGAGCCACTAAGGTATGTGTTGGTCTAGGTAGAGCTCACATAAACAATTCTAGTTAGCAAGATCACACAAACCTATGCAACTAGTACTTAAGCAACCGAGGAGCTCCTACACATGCTAATATGCAAAGCGCACAAAGCCTAAGCTCACTAGCAATGCTCAATAGCAAGGCTACACAAGCCAAACTAGAGAGCTCAAATTACTTAGCTACGCAAACTAAGCAATGTAACTAGTAAGGCTACACAAGCCAACTAGTTACACAAGAGTGCAAATGCTTTGCTACAAAAACAAACTAGCTACACATGAGCAACAACAACATAAGCACAATATATCAACAAGTAAATACAAGCTTATGTATGGAGATTGCAAACCAACGGAAAGATGATGACACGATGATTTTTATCTCAAGGTTTGGTGGTTTGCCAACCACTTAATTGTCATTGAGACAAGCTCAAGGTTGTCGCTGGTCCTCTTGCTAGTGGTGACCCACAAATCACACTCTCCCACGTGGAGTGCTCACCACGCACTCTAGTACTTGACGTGGATGAACCACTTGATGCTCTTCACATCTCGCTCAACTAGAGTTGCTCTTCACGTCTCCCGTGGGGCGAGCACAACAGCCCTCACAAAAAGCACTTCTCGAGAGCACCGCACAAGCTTCTTGCGGGCTTCATGACAGAGACACGCCACCAAGCCATCTAGGAGGTGGCAACCTCCAAGAGTAATAAACATCACCGGCTTGCAATTTGATCACCTAGTGCCACTTGATGCAGCCACTCAATGCAACGCACTAGAAATCGCTCACTTCGTAATCAGATCGCACTCTTGCAAGCACAAGTGAGTTAGAGGGCTCCCAAACACTCTCCAAGCACGGACACTAAGTCCCCAAGGTGCTCAACCTCTCAAAGGGTCGGCCACCATCTCCTTTTATAGCCCACAAAGGTGAAAGCTCTAGTTTGGTTTTGGTGAATTGATGAAACCCTTAGTGCTAACCTAGTTTATCAAAGTGATCATGAGATAGGTAACACATTCCAAGTGATGAAACAAATGAAGATCATGACATGATGATGATGGTAATGCCATGGTGATGATCAAGTGCTTGGACTTGAAAAGAAGAAAGAGAAAAACAAAAGACTCAAGGCAAAGGTATAAGTTGTAAGAGCCATTTTGTTTCGGTGATCAAGACACTTAGCGAGTGTGATCACATTTAGGATTAATAGCCATACTATTAAGAGGAGTGAAACTCGTATCGAAATACGGTTATCAAAGTGCCACTAGATGCTCTAACTCATTGCATGTGCATTTAGGATCGAGTGGCGTGGCAAGTTGAGTGACTAATCCTTTGGAAAATATTTGTGAAAAGCTAACACACATACACATGGTGGTGCACACTTGGTGGTGTTGGCACATTTGCAAAGGAGAAGAAGTTAGAGTTGTTGTGAATCAACTTAGAGAAGAGAAAAATGTTTTTCGGTGTACTCCGAACTATAGGATGGTCCTTGGATTGGAATACCTTTGATCCATTGTTATTTGGATCAAGTATGCATATGGGATGTGTAGCCCTCTGAGTAAGCTTTCCAAAATGTCTAAGATCATCGAAATCGGAGTTCGGAGCTAAGAGTTATAGCCGTTTTAGCGCTGAAAGGTCTGTGACCGGACGCTGGCGCGAAAAACGACCGGACGCTGGGTTCCAGCGTCCGGTCAGCACCTGCGAGTCCGGTCACAGCGTCCGGTCTGTGTTTTTAGCGTGTCCAGAAGCGACCGGATGCTGGGAGAGTCCGATCAGTGATGATCGGACGCGTCCGATTGCTGAAAAACATCGCTGGAACCTCTCTGTAAGTGACCGGACGCTGGGTTCTAGCGTTCGGTCGTTATGACATGCACGTCCGGTCACCTCGTGTTGTGCCTAGTGAAGGGGTACAACGACTCTATTTCGTGGGGGGCTTCTATTTAAGCCCCATGACCGGCTCTAGCTCACTCCCTTGGCCATTTGTATTGACATAACAACCTTGTGAGCTTAGCAAAAGCCCTCCCACTCATCTCCATCATTGATCCATCATCATTGTGAGATTAGGAGAGAATCCAAGTGCATTGCTTGAGTGATTGCATCTAGAGGCACTTGGTATTCGTGTTTCGCTCCGGGATTCACTTATTTCTCTTGGTGGTTGCCGCCACCTAGACGGCTTGGAGCAGCGAGGATCCTTGAGCGAAGGTTGGTGATTGTCTCCGGCTCCGATCGTGGTGATTGTAGGGGGTCTTGTGCCTTCCCCGACGGAGCGCCGAAAGGTAATTCATTGAGTTACCTCACTTGTCGGTAGGTTCTTGCGGTGTCCAATTGTGTGGACGAGGTTCGTGTAACACCTCTTAGCCACCGAACCACCAAGTGTTGGTCGACACAACGGTGACTACCGTGCCGGCAAGCACGTGAACCTCAGGAGAAAAATTAGTTGTCTCTTGCCCTTTTGGTATTCTCCCGGTGATTGATTTAGTATTCATCTTGTGATTGGTTCACTCCTCTACACGACGGTATAATCATCCTACTCATTCATTTATATTCTTGCAAACTAGTTGTGGCAAGCTCTTTAGTGTAACTAGAATTGAGAGGTTGCTTTGTAGTTTAAGTTCATCTAGTGGAGCTCTTTAGTGTAGCAAGTGTGAGAGCTCTTAGTGAGTAGTGACATAGCAAATTGTGTGTTTAGTGATCATAGCAACTAGTATTGTTGGATAGGTAGCTTGCAACCCTTGTAGAGCTAGAGCAAGTTTGAATTTCGCTATTTGTTATACTAATCAAATTACTATAGTTAATTTATAGATTTTTAAATAGGCTATTCACCACTCTCTAGCCATATTAGGACCTTTCAAAAGGCCAACTAGCCGTTGGACAAAAAGTTGCCTAGTCACGCGTACACCAAACATGTCAGGTGTACACATAACCCCTGCACCGGACATGGCAGGTGCATATATAACAGCTATATCCAACATTCGAAAAACTAGTCGTTACACGTAGTCAGAGATCAGGTGCACTGTACAACATCGGATATGTACACCGGACATGTCAGGTGTATATATGACTTCATGTGCCGAGAAAACAACCTCTCCAGAATCCCTATCCAGGCCTTGTTTAGATCACCTCTAAATTCCAAGTTTTTTCACTCTCTCTCCATCACATCAATTTTTGGACGCATGCATGGAGCATTAAATGTAGATAAAAAAATAACTAATTATACAGTTTAGTTGTAAATCACGAGACGGATCTTTTGAGCCTAGTTAGTCCATGATCGGACAAAGTTTGTCAAATACAAACAAAACGTACTACAGTGTCCAGGTTGTAAAAATTTACAATCTAAACAAGGCCCAATACGGTATCTGGTGCCACACTGAATATGTCCAGTGTATATATAGCCTCTATATATGCCCTATCCAGTGTGGTATCCGGTGCCATGTCGTATATGTCCGATGTATATATAGCCTCTATATATACCCTATCCGGTGCCTCCCATCCAGTGCACACCGGACACGTAGGTGCTATGTATGACTTGCACATATACAAAGCCGTGAATGCACCTACCCTCTACCGTATCCGGTTCATCATAGCCGGTGTGCACCTGACACAACTAGTGCACGCTGAACAGGTGCACCAAGAGCACTTCTTCGTCTCCTTTTTCAAATGTGCCAACACCACCAAATATACACTATATTGTGCAAGTATGTTAGCATTTCACAGACATTTTTTCTAAAGGAATTTTCTATCTTTTTACCACGCCACTTGATCCTAGCACGCATACAAAGTTAGATCGTTCAAGTGGCACTAGATGACCGATATGCAAACGAGCTCATCCCTGTTGATAGTATGGCCATCTATCCTAAACCCGGTCATGCACTTCTCTACCCAACTTTTGACCGGTGAAAATGAAATGTCCTATAATTATACCTTTGCCTTGCGCGTTCTATTCTATTTTCTCCAATGTTGATGCTACACAAGCACCAACCAACATCACCAAATGATATGCTCCACTTCATATCATCATATGACCTTTAGTTCATCGATCGCAACCTCGATAGCTCTTCACAGTTGCCCTTGTCCATCGACACCAAGTCATTGCCCAAGCTTCTCTGCCACGTGTTGTGCGTCACTCCAAAGCCTCCAACTTGCCCTTCATACCCGCAACCGGTCCATTGACGCTAAGCCTTGTCTTGATCTTCTCCACCTAGTCTGATGACTCAATGTCATGTCTCTATAACATATCCAAGCCATTTCCACCTCCATGGCTCAAGTTGCTCACATTAGTATACATGTGGACTAATTACCTATGTACAGCAAGCCGGCGGTCCAGTGGCCCTGCATCAAGCCCAAATTTTTGGCCCAGCCAAAGCAAAAGCAGGACTTGCCCGAGCCAACACAGACCGATGATGACCAGGGCCATGCTTGGGCCACTCCTCAGACACACGATGGCCCAGCCCGCTAGAATAGTATCAGCCCAGTGTCGGCCCGCTAACACCCCTATGACCTCTCTTCGGGCCTACACACACTGCTAGGCAGCAGCCCTTCCCCTGAGAAAAAAAAACTAGGCAGCAGCCCTAGATGCCAAATAAACATGAGTGTTCACAGGTGGAAAAATTATAATACATGCATGCCAAAAGCACAGTCCACATAATAATATTATATATAATTATCACTCAACGAGTCATGCAGAACGCAGAGACTCGACAAAGGACATGCATGACAAAGACAAGGTTTGCCAGCAGAGGTTTATTTGAGTAAATTTCCAGCCCAACTGATAAAATTTAAAGTTTACTCCCAACAACAATCTACTTATCAGTAGATATAATTTCTTTGCCGCCCTAGCGTGAAACAGGGAAGGTGTGTACAAAAGCGGCCTGAATTTCTCAAAGCAAGATTTCTGGGCCCATCCGTCGCTCCTCTGCCAGCTCATTGAGCCTTTGAGTCACCTTCTCAGCAACATTTATGTACGCTTGCGCAGATGCAGAGTCTGGTGATGATACAACGATAGGCTTGCCTTCGTCTGAACCTGTTCTGATGCTGATTTCAAGAGGTACCTATTGAAGAAAAACAACCGCTGTGTAGCATAAGCTCATATGTATATGTAAATAAAACATATATAAAACTGATATGCCAATTATCCATCTGCAGTAAAACCAAATTTAGGGTGTTCATTCCTAACAGAATGTTCTCTACATCTGAAATTCATGATATCTAGAAATTGAAGTAACAGTCTAATCTTTGAAAAAAGATTCATCCTTTCTCAGACATAAAAGAGACGAGCATAATCATCACAACTTAAGAATTGGTGCCAATTGAAATCAATTACAACAAGATTCACTCACATCACCAAGTAATTTCATGTCCATTTCCTCTGCAGTTCTCTGTGCTCCACCTTCCCCGAAGATGTAAGATTTCTCACCACATTTTGGGCACTTAAAGCAACTCATATTCTCTACCAATCCCAGAATCTGTGAAACCAAAATACTCAGCTGTCATGTGAAAGCTAGATATACTAGAGAATGGGAAAGGCATAATGTTGTGACTTAGGGACCGGAGAGCGTAGGAGTGGGAGACAGGGGGCCTGGGCTTGGAATCCCGGCGATGGACTGGTGGTGCCGTGCTCGGCGGCTGGCTGGAGACGGCTGGAGAATCGGCGGCAACGGAGAGACCGTGAACAGTAACGCCCGAGGGCCCAAGGTGAGATAAACTCAATCTCAGGCTGATCCTTCTATTATAATTGTTTAGTACTTATACAAAGAGATCTCCAGCCGACTCAAACCTAATTAAATCAAATAACAAACTCTAAGAGATAAACATCCTAGATTCTAGGACTTGATAACCAACAGGCCGGCTAGACCGGACTCCTAGCAAACTGGCCGGCTAAGCCGGACTCCTAGCCCGTTGTCTACGCCTATAGACCTTACCGGTCATAACATCTCTCCCCTCCTCGGGAAACAGCTCATCCTCGAGCTGAAACGAAGGAAAGAGAGTACGGAACTCATCCACAGGTTCCCAAGTGGCCTCATCTTCTGGCATGTTCTCCCACTGAACCAGCACATGCCACACACCGCGGCGCAACTGAGAACGAAGCACGCGTGAAGGACGATGAAGTACCCGGCCATGACGAAGAGGAGGAAGCGGTGGTGTAGTGGATGGTGGGGTTCCCCGAAACGGCTTGAGAACCCCAACATGGAACACATCATGAATCCGAGCGCCCTCCGGAAGACGCGAGGCGATATGCCACTTCGCCAATGCGCTCAATGACCAAATGGACCAAAGAATCGTGGACTAAACTTGCCACGGAAACACGCACCAAGGACCGTCTTGGCCGATGGAGAAGGCGCAGAGAACCTAATCATCGACGTCAAAGCAAGAGGGCGGTGGTGAGCATCATAATGCCTTTTGGCATACTCCTGGGCTTGCATCAATCGATCACGAACATCGGCGAGAAACTTGTCACGATCACCTAGAAGCTGGTCCACCCTATCTGTCCTTGCCGTGCCCATGACATAAGGCAACAGAGAGGCGGTGAGGCCGCCATAGACCACCAAACGGCGTTGTCCGGGTGAGGAGTGGAATGAAGTGTTGTAACAATATTCAGCCCACGGAAGCCATCGAAGCCAAGAGCGAGGGCGATCACCGATTAACATCGCAGATACATAGCAATTGTACGATTGACCACTTGGATCGTCCATCGGTTTTGTGGGTGAAAAGTCAGTACTCATCTTTAGCTTTACCCAGGCGAGCTCAAAGATATCGTGCCAAACATGCCCGTAAATACTATAGATCGAGATCACTAACAATGGATGCCGGAAACCCATGAAGTCCGGCGACCTCAAAGAACACTCCGTGACGACAGACGCTGCGGTGTATGGGTGACTCGGTGGTAAAAAATGAGCACGCTTGGAAAATCATCAACCATCGTTAGAATCACACTTTTCCCATGTACACGCGGAAGGCCTTCCACGAAATCCATGGAAATATCGAGATCAAACTTGCGAGGAACCTCCAAAGGTGAAGGAGACCAAATGGGTGTAGATGGTCGGTTTTATTTCACCGACACGTGAAACAAGAGCTCACAAAGTCCCGGACAAAGGCGACGGTCATGGTCGATCACGAACTCCCCGACGAAGGCGCCGCAGCATCTTCATCAGCGCCTTCATGACCAAAGACCGTCGCCAACCGGAGAACAATGGGAAGAATTGAGGACTTTGCTGGGACAAACACACGGTTCGCGCGCATGATCAGACCATCAACGAGACGCCAGGGCTCGCCCCGGTTGGTCACAATGGAGTCGCGCAGCAACTCGCGAGTCATCATCCACCGCGATTCATGGCATAGGTCGTCGAATAATCGAAAGGAAGGCGCCGTGGATCGCATGAAGCGGCAGATCGTCCCCTCCTCCGAGACAACGCGCCGGCCCGCGATATTGAGGGTGCCCGGCCGATATTCAATCGTGAAATCATACCCAAAGAGCTTACTCACCCACTGATGTTGGGGAACTGTAGAGAGCCGTTGATCCAACAAGAACTTCAACGCATAATGGTCTGTGCACACAATAAACTGCCTGCCCCATAAATACGGACGCCAGTGCCGAACTGCTTGGACAAGGCCGATGAGTTCTCTCTCATATGCGGCTAACTTGTGGTGCCGAGCTGCGAAGGGTCTACTGAAGAACGCCAAGGCACCTCTGCCTTGATGAAGTACTGCGCCGAATCCAGAGCCGGAGGCATCACAATCAACGATGAATGATTTGTCCCAATCGGAAGTTGAAGAACCGGTGCACTAGACAGGGCCTTCTTGAGGGCATTGAAAGCGTCGGTGGCTGCAGATGACCACAGAAAAGCCTCTTTCTTGAGCAGCGCCGTTCACGGTGCAGCCACCGAGCCGTAATCTTGAATGAACCGACGATAGTACCCGGCGAGGCCGAGAAACCCCCGGAGAGCACGGACATTGCCAGGTTGAGGCCAGGTAGCGACGGCCGCAACCTTCTCCTCGATCCATTGCAACCCCACCAGCAGATATTACATGTCCCGGATAATGAACCGATGTCATAGCAAAGTCGCATTTAGATCTTTTCAACCGCAATGATGGTCACGTAGGGCGTTGAAGACCTGCGTTGAGGTGCCGCAGATGTGTGGGACCAAGATGGGCTATAGATCAAGATGTCGCCGAAAAACACAAGTACAAACTTACGCAGAACGCAGGCGAACCTTGTGTTCATGAGGCTTTGGAATGTTGCTTGCATTGGATGTACCAAGGGCATGACTAAGAACTCAAGTGACCCTCATGAGTCCGAAGGCCGTCTTCTCAATGTCATCGGTATGCATACGAATTTGATGGTACCACGAACGCAAGTCCGGTTTGGAGAAAAACCGTGCCCCATGGAGCTCATCCAAAGAGTTCTTCGACCACCGGAATTGGGAATTTGTCTTTAACAAAGAGCTTGTTCAAGGCACGATGAATCGACCACAGAACCTCCAAGAGCCGCCATGTTTCTTGACCAACAAAAGAGAGCGCGAGAAAGTGAAGTACTAGGACGGATCATCCCCATTTGCGACATAGCGGCGCATTGGGATTCCAGTTCATTCCTACAGTAGTTGTGGGTAGCGGTAAGGCCTCACACGACCACCGGTACCGCATTGGGCACTAGGTGAATCGCGGTGATCACGAGCACGCAGCAGGGGGCAAGCCTTGGGCGCCATGCGAACACATCTTCAAAGGAGTTGAGTAGCTTGTCAAGCAATCTTTGTTCCGGTGGTACGGCCCGTGTCGTGAAGAGCATGGAGCCGGCGAGTGAACTGCATGTCATCTCGGGTGGAGCCGATACACGCTGTAACACGCGTCGACCTGCCATGGTGAACGCCATGCACAAGTCATCAAAGTCCCACAATATCGGTCCGAGGGTGCGCAAGAAGTTGACCCCGAGCACCATGTCCCAGCAGTCCAATGGGATGGTATAGCAGTCGACTGAGAAGACTTCTTCGGCAATTTGTATGCCGACATCGCGTGCGAGCCCTCGGCAGGCTACGCGGTCACCATTTGCGACCGTGACTCCGGCACCTGGGCATGGTTCAAAGTGGATGCCAACGCGTCGTGCGGCGCGCCGCCGGCCGATGAATGTGTGAGTAGAGCCGAATCCAAAGAACGCCACACACCGTGACGTTGCCCACCGGACATAAACCTACATAGTATCCTCACCTGATGCTCGCAATGGTCGATAATGATATGGTGGGTTTGTCTGCATTACCCGACGCCGACGCTCATTCATCGTCATCGGACTCGCTCCTCCACAAGATAATCTGTGACTTCAAGGTAAACAGCCATGCCACACTTGTGTCCCCGCACATATGGTTCGTCACGCTTATAACACAAGCCCAACTTGCGGCGATGCGCCATCTCTCGGTGTGAGCCGTTTGAAAGACCGGTTGGGGGACGCCGAGGTCGGTGATGATGGCGGGCGACCCTCGTAGCCGTGTAATGCGATCTGTCTCGCATCACGAACGCTGTCGAGATCGGGCGGCTTGGTGGTGCCGGGAGCGCGAGGGCGATTCTTGCCGACGACGCACGACGACGCTCATAAGCTCGAGCCAAGCGCATGCGCGGTGTGTAAATCTGAGGGGTCATGGAGCTCCACGTCGACCTGATGTACTCCGGGAGTCCTCCGGTGAACGGCTGTGCTTGTTGTAGCGGCGCCAGATGCCCCGCGTGCGCCAAGCGCGCCTGGAAGGCGTCCATGTATGCATCAACGGAGGAACCGAATTCGGTAGGCGGCGAGATCGATCAAGAAGATGGTTGGTGGACGGTAGCCGGTCCGAAGTGTTGGTGGCAGAGCAGACGAAAGCTGGACCAAGACGGCCGGCCGGAGTCTCGTTCCAACACATAGTACCATTGTTGTGCGGATCCCGTCATGTGGAAGGAGGCGAGCCAAACCTTGTCCGCCTCACGTGTCAGCTGGCCGCGGAAGGACTCAACGGTTGAGCCATCCGAGCGGGTCTTCTTTGCCGTCGTAAGTGGGGAAGGATGACTTATGGAACACAGGAACGCCTACAGGCGTCTCCATGTTCCTCAGGTTGATGGCGTGGTTCATGCACCATCGTAGCGAAGAGTAGATCGGCCGCGTGCATGATGGAGGACAATGACGGTACCGGTGATGGAGATGCTTAAAAAAGGATCGATCGAATGGGCAGCCCGTCGTGGCCGGGTCGCGGTGACGCGAGAGGTCTCGATCTCAGCGCGGCGCCGTGGACCCCGGCATTGACGGCGAGGGGGATCTCCAGACGACGACCGGTCGTGTGGCCGAAAAACCCCATACCTTAAGCATGCCATATTGTAGTAGCGGCGGGGTGGAGTACGGCAGACGTGGTGTCATCGAAGGGCCTACCGCCCTCGGCGATCCGCCAAGCGCAGGACATCTCCGCCATCTGCCGCTGCATGCCTTGGAACATGTCTCCCATCTGCCGCTGCATGGCTGCCAAAGGCGACCGTGGAGTCCTCAAGAGTAGGCGGTGTGGGGCGCTCGTCATGCAGCGACAGAGCGGCCGACGACACGCAGCAACGACGGCACAGCAGAGAGCACCCGAGGAAGCCATGGTCTCTAATACCAAATTGTTGTGACTTAGGGACCGGAGAGCGTGGGAGTGGGAGACAGGGGCTGGGCTTGGAACCCCGGCGATGGATCGGTGGTGCCGTGCTTTCGGCGGCAGGTCGAAGATGGTCGGAGAATCGGCGCAACGGAGAGACCGTGAACAGTAACGCCCGAGGGCCCAAGGTGAGATAAACTCAATCTCAGTGATCCTTCTATTATAATTGTTTAGTACTTATACAAAGAGATCTCCAACCGACTCAAACCTAATTAAATCAAATAACAAACTCTAAGAGATAAACATCCTAGATTCTAGGACTTGACAACCAACAGGCTAAGCTTAGGCGGACTCCTAGCCAATCCCAGCGGCTAAGCCGGACTCCTAGCCCGTTGTCTCGCCTATAGACCTTACCGGTCATAACACATAATGAAGAATTTTGAATCAGTAAAATGAAATGTGCATATTCTTAAGGTGGATAAGTGATACCCTTATTTTCAGGGTTGACATACAATCGACTACAACACAGTAACTGACGAAGTTTAGGAAAGAAAAAACAAAATTAAGAGAATAAACTGAAGAATTATAACTTGAAATAGAAATTTAAAATGTGATACAGACAAACAGTTATTATGGAGACAAAAGATAGATTAAGTTAAACAGACTGTACAGGAACTTGAACTTTGCGGAACATGTTGGCTCCTCTTCTAGCATCAATAAGAGCAATATCTTGAGGAGTTGAAACAATTAAAGCACCTGCAGAAACAATATGTAAAAACTAAAATTTAAAATCTGTATCCAATCAGCATTTGCAGCTTCATAGGCAGATGTATAAATACCAGATAACCGAAGCCTTTGGGACATCGATAGTTGAGCATCACCAGTGCCTGGGGGCATATCAACAACAAGAATATCAAGGTCCCCCCAAGCAACTCCCCTTGTCATCTTCTCAAGAGCACTCATTACCTGATATACCAAGAGAAAAGTAGTATTAACAACATAGAACTTGACAAAAGAACACAAATCGTAAATATGAAACTACAGCATTATATCTATGTAAAGGATTACCCATGGCAACTCATTCGAATATAACAAAAGCCAATTAACCATCATTACATATTACAATCAACTGCAATAAAAACTTGTTTTCTTCGAGCAGTAATTCAAAGAAATTTCAAATTAAACATTTCACCATCTATAAGATTTAATTGTAACATCACCTGCATGGAGTGAAAATATAAAATAAAAGTGTTCACATACAACAGCCCTTCATGATCCTAACCCTAGACCAGTTTTGTTGCATTAAAGATGCAAGAACGAAAGTAACCAAAGCTGCAACAGTTTTGAGTTTGTTTCCATATTAACATGTTTTCACGATAATATGCATGTTTACATTTCAGTTTATGTTTTTATGAGCTAAACATGCAATAGAAAAGGAAATGTTTGACATGATAAATGCCCAAAGGATTTATAGACACTTCAAAGGAGAAGTTAACATAAGAACATGCAAAGACAAACCATAGGACCTCTCCAAACAATTGGTGCGTCTTTGTCTACAAGAAAACCAATGGACATGCATCGCACACCATGGTTCTCAACTGGAATCATCTTCATGTCTGCAAAAAAATATATGTAATTAAAAAATCGGTATAAACCCACAAAGAAACAGCAAATGTAATTGTAGTTAAAAAAAGGTTATAGGTATGCTAGTATCCAGGAATTATTTACCAGAAGTTAAACAGGCTTAGCAGGGTAACCGGCGTACATGTATTAAAGAATAGTGAAGAATTACATTTCCAAATAGCTATATTTAGCTCACTGCTCAGCTAGACATAGATTAAAATTGCGACCAGTGCAGAACGCTTTCCCATGTTAATTTTGGACTGCCTGGTGTTTATCACTTGGTCAAAAGGTAATAAGTTTGATGGTTTACGGTTTCAACTGAACCAAACTAAAACTAGTGCAGTGGCCAATTAATTGCTGTTCATTTAATTAAATTTGATCACCTTAAAACTGAAACTATCATTGTAGTCTAGCCAAGGGCCAAGACCTTGTTCACTTAATCCCCTCCCCAAGGGGACTGGAGGGGATGAGAGGGCTTTTAACTTGCAAGGGATTTAATCCCCTTTAATCCCCCTCCAATCCCCACTGAACCAAACAAGCCCTAAACGAGTTAAGCACCATTTAGTTAAAAAAAATGGCGCAGCCATGAAAAGAACATGAATAGTTTTGTTTAATCATGTAGCAAGAGAAAAGATATCAGGGAAAAATGAGCAACCAAGTTCTAAAAACAAGCTTATCTTTGGTTCTCTCAGCGTAGTGTTTTGACTTGTACTTTTAATTTAGCAAGGCTGTGTCCTGTAAATATTTCTTTATTTTTTCTGATATAATTCAATTTACACAAATCAAATTTTGATATGCAACAGTACATGATAAAAGAGAAATCTAAAAAAATCTAAACAAGACAACCAAAGTCCTAGGTGTATAGACTGACGAGTTTTAACATATATAAGAAGGCATATGGTGTACACCATGGTATGTGCTGAAAGCGATCCAACAGATACCTTCACTTACTTCAGGCTTGGCATGGAGATTCATCATTGTGGGAATGGATGGTCCATATATGTCAGCATCTAGCAAACCAACCTGAAGCTTAAACTCCTTGGCAAGTGCTACAGCAACGTTAACTGCACGAATACAATTGCCAATATGAAGGAGGAATTTAAACTCTAGTGAACAGAAAGAAACAAAAATGGAGCAGGAACTCAAGAAATATGACTAGAAGACAACCGCTAGCTTTATATCGCCATCATTGTTTAAAAGTTAAAACAGAAATTATGCACCTAAATCATTGGCATCTATCCCCTAGACTCAAGTTAAGAACCATTCCTGCTTCAAGATAGCTAATAAGAACTAGGAAGTATCTTTAGCAAAGCCCAACTTTTGGTTTCAATATACCTCCAAACAGATCTAAAAGATTCAAGCTCTACAATCACAACACATCATCCTTAAAGCCATCTGCACCAATATCAAATCTGAAAAAGAATTGGACAAATGCGAGCTATTCTAGTGTTAAGAGAAATGTAAACCTGCAGTGGTGGACTTGCCGACGCCGCCTTTTCCTGATGCGACAGCAATGATGTCGCCTACGCCGGCGATCGAAGGGCCCCCCTTTGCAGCAGAGCTGTACCATCTCCTACCAAGCAAACCCTAGGCAAAAAGGGCGATTATAAGCTAGAAAATTGGAGGGGAAATGCAATGGTTCTGGATTATCGGAACAGTCAGGAGGGATGGGCAAGGAAAAAACTGCAATTTTGCACAGGATAATTAGGGGAGAAGTGAGGGAAAATCCTTGGAAGCAATAAACAATCGAATAGCTGATGTCTCACCGAGCGAGAGGCTATCCGGTGCATCGAAAAGAAACTGTGCCCCATTGAGAACGAAAGAGCGCTTCGTTCCTTGCCCACAGCAACAGCGAGGGGCAGTGGCAGACCTGAAACACAGCAAGAAGGGCACTGAATATACTCTTTAACTTCATAATGCTAAGCCAAAGCATAGATATTTAGGCCACATGTATATACGCTTACAAGTTACAACATGAGAGTAACTCAAAAAAATATAATCACGCAAAATTGGTGATGAAGTAAATCTATAACATATAATAAAAATTAATCACATCCATATATATAGGTAGAACTAAATGATACACTTGAGCAACAGAGTAAATTTTGTGCCAAATTGGTTTTGAATATTAAACAAGTTACAAGTTCGCTACAAATTTAAGGAGTCACAAATGGATTCCTGACTTCACACTTAATAAGGAAGATAAATTGAGAATATGTGCAACTGACGAAGCTAACAAAACAGTATCGGCATAAGGTGGAACAAAACTTAGAAATCAAGCACTCACACTGACTCACTGTGCAGCAGGGGTAGGGGGCTGGGGCGACTCCACAATGTGCTGCTGCTGCTGCTGCAAGCCAAGAGAGAGAACCAGCGGCCCTGCGAACTGTGGTGCCGGCCGTCGGCCGGCTGGCAGGGGCGCACTTGGTCAGTGACGCAGCGCCAAGCGGCAGCACAGAACAAGACGGGGCGCGGGTGGATCTGCACAGCACCGACGAACCCGCTACCCAGTGCCCAGCAGGATCTAGCCGAGGCCCGAGGACGGAGCAGACGAGGTCGTCGACGGGACGGGCGAGGGCGGAGGGCGGATGGCGGATGGCGGATGGCCGGCACGCCGCCACGGAGAACGGAGGTCGAGTGGAGCCGGGCGCGGTCGGGGATTCGGTGGACGGCGGGTCGGCGGCTCAGGAGCGCTCGCGCTTCTCTTGGTGGACCGCAGGCGCGGGTGGAGCTGGATCCTTGCAGGCCTCCCCTTGTGGGCCGCACTTGGGCTGGATTGAGTAGGGAGTTAGGGACGCTTGGCGGTCGTGGGGTGGTGTGGAACGAGGAAGACGAGCAGCGGGGCGGCGGGCGTCAAACAAATGCGCGAGGTGCCGAGGTCGATTCCATCACCTGGGGGCTGAGGATGACTCCTGAGGTCGATTCGATCGCCTGCGCCGCGGATCCGTACAATGCGAGGATCCTCTGGCTGTAAATGAATGACCCGAGCTCGAGCGAGCTCGTCGCCTCAATCTAGAGCTTATCAAAGGGGTTCAGACTTGGCACGTTTGTGATTCGAGTCGATCTTAGTCGAGCTTAAGACGAGCGTATTTCGAGCAATTCATAAGGGCCTGTTTGGGCGATACGGTTTTTGAAAACTTTATCACAAAACTGTGGTTTTGTAAGTCAAAAGAGACACAGAACCGTGGTTTAGAAAAAAAGAAGTCACGAGTGGAGTTTCTAAAACTCCAAAACGACTACAGTTTTGACAAAACCATGGTTTTACAGAGGTTTTAGAGACTACCAGATTTGTTGCATCTCTAGTATAGCTTTTAAAAATCAAAGTATTTTATAAAACCATAGTATTTCTCCGACACTTCAAAAACATTTTGCATCCAGACCTAAGTCTTTTAGCCTTTTATAGTCCTAGCTACTGCAGTCTACATTGTTTTTCTCTGAGTCCAGTGGGATTTGGACAATGCAATTTTCCAATAACATTTGAAATACAAATGCATGCACCTTAGTGTCATGAATGTTAGGTAACATGTACGTGTCTACAAAAGTGAATTGAACCCTGGTAATTTAAAGTAAAACATGGAAAATATATCTTGCTGATTACTAGGGAAAAAACATCATCGTCTATCTAACCTAAATTTATCCATGTCATGAGTAATAAAGTTTCGGTTCACGAACTTGACTATATTGGAAAGGAAATATAACAGAGATAAATTCGAAAGGAAAGTAGAAATATGTGCAACTATTGTGGCCACAGAAGTTGCAAATACAATTGAAATCTTGCTCACATAACATACAATTCACTGACAGGCAGCATCAGCTGCAGCTTTGTACACACATCAACTGACTCGGTCGCTACTGCCTACTGGCCATCAAAACCGAAATAGAATAAAAGAACAATGGAGGGAAAAAAGAGAAGGGGGATTCACACAGAATTCAGCAAGAATTTTTCAAAATTAAAAGAAAAAAAGAAAAAAGGTTATTAACAACAAACAATGGTTTGATGCCTTCAGGACGCTGGGATCTGCTGAACCATCAAACAAGCACTGAGAAGTTTGCTTAGCAAAGCAAGCAGTCCACCTTCTGATATTCATTAGTTTTCAGAAGTTCAGGTATCATCGACCTGAGAATGGAAGACAAAGCTCGGAAATGTAGTGGTGATGTCCCTGCACAAAGTTGGCATGATTAGAACCATAAATTGATTTGGTTGAAATAGAACCACAATTTACAATACTAGCTCATTCAGGATAATCTCATATGCTCTGCTATTATCTAAATAAATCGTGGTATTTAATGTTGTATTTGTTATTTCCAGGTAAACAGAGTTAACAGCGTACACAAAGGATCAGAATATCTTACTTGAGATATTGTAGTGTCATGTTCTTCAATAAGGAGGGATGCCTCACTACTAAATTGCGCCATTCTTCTTTGTCAATTTTCCCATCATGCGTTGTGTCTGCCTCCTCAAAAGTCTTTTAGAAAAAGAAAAAACTTAATAAGAAGATTCAAATAGCACATACAGGCAGACCAACCTGTCACATTTTCACTTGTTTGGAGTATTGACTTAAGTAATAAGTGCAGCACAGTGCATCAATCAGCACAAAAAGGATACTATTGATAATAGCTATAGCTATATACATTTTCTTGTTTATTACAAAAACAACTATATTTATTGTATTAACTAAAATAATTAATTACTAGGTGCTTTTGTGCATAGGATGGTCACGCTTTCGTTTCCTAGGCACATAGGTGAATTTGATTAAGTAATAGGTTTGAATTCGTGTGAAAATTTTCATAAGCCCAATTCAACCCCTGGGGTATCTTGATCCTTTCATATAGGAAAGGTTACATATGTAAGGTATCAGCAAACTTGATTCAACAAGGGGACAGACATATTATGAGTGACAACTTCAATGCACAGTGATGTTTGCAAAGATTCTGTTATCAAACTTAATTTCCAAATATGATAGCAGACAGCTACTGTAACAAGGAAGGCCAGGTGGCATGCCATTGCTTCAAGGAGATTCAGGTAGTAGGAATTGATATTGATAGAAAATTAGGGGAAGAATAGTTGATTTATTCTTTAACTAACCGAAGCAGCATAACAGAAACCATTATACAAAGCAATACTGAATGAGACCCTATGACTTTGACTTTAAACAGTGCTTGTACCAAGATTTCCATGATAATATGAAATATTACTAAGACACAAACCAACTTCATGGTGTCTCGGTCTTTACTAGCTTGGATAATGGATACTCAAGGGGATCTCTCTTTAGAGGGCTTGGTTCAGTACTTGCAAGTTTAGGACTCTTTGGAAGACTTTGTTCTTTCCCACGATGAAGATGGGTACTACTGGCGCCTGGCGGCATGAGGGGAGTGGAACCTTCACTTCCAAGTCTACTTATATGGCCTTCTTCTATGGTGCCATATCATTCTTGGAAACATCTCTGGAAATCATGGGTCCTCCCAAGTGCATGGTTTTCCTATGTCTTGCGATTCAAAACAAGTGCTGGACAGTAGATTGGTTAGCAAAATGGGGGCTTGCACATCCTGAACAGTGTGTTCTTTGTGATCAAGAGGAGATGGTGCAACATATTCTTACTAGCTGTGTTTTTGCTAGGCAATTGTAGCATCATTTGCTGGCCCCTACTGTCCTCTAACACACTGCACCTAGACACCATGATAAGTGCTTTGCTGATTGTGGAGGAAATCTAGCCAAAAAATTGGAAGGCCTCAGAGAAAAGGGTTCAGCAGTGTTGTGGTCTTGGGAGCTTGGACCCTATGGAATCTCAGGAATATATGCATCTTTGATGGTGTCTCTCCATCCTTGCCGGCTGCCCAATAGTTTTTCAATGAAGAGCTGCAGATGTTGTGTTTTGCCGAAGCTCGGAAACTTCAGTATAAGATTTGCAGCTCTCCTAGTGGAGGTAAGTAGGTTGCCTTGTACGGGGTTTCTTTCCCCTCATTTTCTCTTTAGTATAAAGATTTGCAGCTCTCCTGCATGTTTGAGAGAAGAAAAAAAAAACTAAACCTCTCTCACCAAATTGGACAGCATACGAGGCACCTTGTTGCCACTGCTTTGTAACATGCTTCCTTTGGAACTGCTACCCAGCTGGCCAGCCAGTGACTGCACATCCACAGTGCTTCCAAATCCCAACTAAGTTGGACCCATTCGTCTATCTCACTGTTGCCTAGCCACAGGTTCTGCCATACTGTTAGTTATGGCTGCTCTCCAGACTCCCTGATTATAATCTCAAGCCTTCCTAAGAAACTATGGGCTCTTAATTGGCTCCACACACTGTTTTCATGATTTTCAATATATAAGTCCACAAGGGCTCTACATGGAAAAGATATAACCAGACAAGTATGTCGATACAAATATCTCAGCGCACCTTATCAATGATGCTCTCTATGACCTCATCTGAAAGATTCATTCCTGACTCCGCAAGTGTAGCAACAACCATTTGCTTTACCTAAAATAACAAAACAAGGAAATTATTAGATACGGAATGCATTAATATCAATGCATTTTTTTAGTAAACGAGCATAAAAAGTATCACAGTTAATTATCTGGCTTTAATAAGAATAACAGAAATGTTGATGTATAAAAGATATTACTAATGAAAACCCTAGGATCAAAGGATGTTGGTGTAAGTTTATGCCGATGGCTTCAGCCTTATCTAATAATCTAATAAGCACAAGCAAGGGATCATATGATGTAAATTTGTGGCTGTCTGTTTGCAGCACCACTGTACAAACTCAAGTTAGCGTAAATCCTTCTAACATATAGATCAATTGGCACAAAATCTCTCTTAACCAGCAACAAAGCAATCCAAACTTATGGATGTAGAATATGGGTCTTTTTGTTAACAAGTCAAAACAATATACAAAGAATGTGGTTGAGAACTACAGCATGCAGCCACAAAATGGCTCAGTACAAATTTGAGGGCAACTATGATTCAAGTGAACTAAATATATGAAAATCGAACTATCCTACAAATGGAAACCAGAAAGAGATGGTAATCCAGATTCTTTTCAGGGTGATGGTATGATAGCATTTAGCCAGCTGGAACTGGGTTTGGCAATACATTAATTCTGAAGATATGTGACCATTAGTTATAAGGGAACAAAAATGGAATAACAAAGAACTTAAACATGAAGGAAAAGTGAAGGCAAATGATTTGATAAGAAAACAGCTGGAAACTAGCCAATTTGATTATACCAGCCATTGTCAGGATTGTAAAACATTTGTTAAAACAAAACCATATAACTCTACAAACATGCTAAGTTCCAACACAGCACATAGATTAGTTAGATACCTCCTGTCTTTCAATGAAGCCTTGTTGCTTGAGGTCATATAGTTGGAATGAAACTGCAAGGATTGTAAAGTCAGCAGGGATATTTTTCTCTCAAATACAAAAATAAAGATTAAAAGCAGGCATAACGCAGAAGAAAGAAAGAAAATGGGCATATGCTAAAACAAATTAATGAAATTGCTTATGCATCACTGTGCACTACTAAACAACAAGAGAGTTACAACCCATATTGACATTCCCCCATGAAAGACCACTAGTCATCAGATGGCATCCAAAGTACACAAATCTATAGAAGGATCACAATCTGAGTCAATACAAGTAACTTCATAACACTTATTACTCCTCCAATCTGATTTAATTGTGCATGCCATGGTAGCTTAATGCATACAGGTGGAATTAGGGTCTGTTTGCACAGCTCCAACTCTGAGATCTATGCTGGATCTGCAGTTTATAGACTAAATTAAAGTGGTTTAAATATTTATATCTAATCTAAACTATAAACGGAATGAGTCATGTAAATGCACTTGACATGCCTGTAGCTCCAGATCCAGGATTTCCTAGAGCTACAGATACAGCTCTGCCAAACAGTGCTTAATAGTTTCTTTTTGACATAGTTTTCATCAAATTTCTGTCTACCATCACTACAAATAAGGAATCACAGGGAAATTTGGGGAAAACCCAAAATGACATCTAATTGCAGACTAATTCAAACTTACCTAGGCCACCTATATCTAAGACTGGCGCATACTAATTGCTGCAGCGAAAAAAACACAGTAGGTAGTTGTAAGTTGTAACACATTATGATGTTAATCTCATGAGTTGTGGCATTAAAATTAGTTGTCACAGTTTGGCATGGCACTATTAGGAGCCAATTAGCAGAACTTCTGGATAGAGGTGGTGAATATCAAAGTGGTTCTTTACAAAACCATGTACCAGTAACCTTCAAGTTATATCTCTTAGTACAGAACATAGATATTTATGCAATAATAATGTTAAGTCTATTTCTACTCTCATAAGTTGGCTTAAGAAACTATGAAATAGGAAGTGTCATTTGTAACACTGTATCATCTTGCACTATGTTGGCATTCATTATTTATTTTTGAACTATACTATTCATTTTGACCACATCAACATAGTCTGCTGTTATGTTCATGCCTTGTTTTGGAATCAAACAAACTGTGCATATGCCCTAAGTATCGCAAACTTACACTCAATCTTCTCATCTAGGGGAGCATTGGGATGAAATACTGAGAGCGCCCGGGCAAATTCTTCAAATCCAAGAATTCCATTGTGTTTTGTATCAAACAAGTCAAATACCTGCAAGAACAATGGCAATGGTTATAGCAATATGCTGTCATACTAACTGAACAAAAGTATGCATCCACAGGATCTCACTTGACTATTTTTCATTGGACACAGTTAGTGACATATGAACACAGCAGGCATAAATGATTATTTCATTATTAAAAGTTCTGATTGGCAGGTGTAGTAAAGCAGAGAATAGGTGGGTTCAGATGGTTTGAATGCAGGTGATTGTGAGTATGAACTGTGTCTTTGTAGAAAAGGGGCAGTTAAAAGGGTACAGCCCTATGTTGTTGATATTATAGCTTCAATCAACAAATACTTGATCATGACTGAATACCACTAATAGTGCTACAATATTTTTCATTGCACAACTACAAAATGCAAACAGCAAAACAGAAACAGCATGCAAAGTAGCCTTACACGATCAGCAAACAAACTCTCCTTCTTGTTAGTCTTGAACAACGCCAACTGAAACTCCTCCTGCAGCCAGGACAAGAGCACCACAACCCAGATTACTCATCGCGATCATGTGTGTACACATAGAGCAAGAACGTTGTATTCTTTTTCCTCAAAGAAGAAAGAAAATAGCGGTATTGACCCACTAACCTTGTTGATCAGTCCATCATCAATAACGGCACTGCTGATATTCTTGAACAGCTCATACAACGCCTCGACCTCGCTCACGCTAACTGCAGGTAAAGTTTTACAAGCAGACCAGGGAGTAAGACAAACAGAAGACAATTGATTATGGTACTACGAACTAAGAATTGATGGCAGCAACGGAGACGGGGAAGCAGCTTGGACGTACACACGGTCTCCCTAGCAAGCACCTCCGGATCCTCTAGGCCCTTGGGCTGCTTGAGGTCGAAGTCGCAGCACTTGAGGAGCGCGCCAAGTAGGTGCTTCACTCCATCCAGGCACTGCAACATGGTACCGCCGCCTCCTCTGCTAACCAAGCATCGACGGGCGGGAGCAGCAACTCACGGCACCAAAAATACCCACCCCCACCCCCTGGCTCCCCCGGCCTAAATGAACGCCCGGCGATGGAGATAATCCACCAGATTCGGACGACCGACGCGGGATCGGCGTGGCGGGGATCGGATCGAGGCTCGGCGAGACGCACGATTCGACGGGTAGGATTTGCTGTGCGGTGCCCGAGGCTCGTTGTGGCCGGCCGCCGGTGGAAAGGTTCCGGTAGCCGTCTTCGTGTTTGTTTTTGGTTTTTTTCCCAGGAGCATTTCTTTCCCTCTTTTGTTCTCCTGTTATCACGTCCTTCGGCGCCTCGTGCTGCGACCATTTTTTCCCCCTCTGTTTTCTCAGGTATATATATACACTATGTAGCGTGTCAGTACGTTCCTACGAGATACTAATATTTTATACTAAAAATACATGAATCGTACAATAAGATAATAATACTGTAAAAATTAAATACCAACGTTAAAATGACATTTAATAAAAAAAACAAAGTTTATGAATTTAACACAGTCACGGAGTGCGCGCCGTCGTAGGCTCACAAACTCTACTTTATAAACCTTTTCGTGATGCGGCTAAGATAATGTTTTATATTGACAGGAAGAAATCTCCGATATCTATTTCTTTCGTGCTCACAAACTAATGACCTTGGTGCAACAAAGGGAAATACAAAGTAGCTATCCTCCTGAATGCGCGGAACCAACGCCACTACGATCGTGCCATCCCACGACCACTGATATGGTGTTGTTTAGCACTATTGTTCATTATTATCGCTAACTTTCTTCGTTAGTTTTATTCAAGTAATTTATGTTTGTAATTATGTAGATGCTAATTCGGTTGATCCCACATTGGCACATGAGAAAAGTGGGGAAAGTCGACAAAACTCATGGTTTTGAAAACATACACGTGCAATAGTACGAATGGTTACAAAACGAAATATTATAAACAAAACACTCAAAGTGTCATTTTTATAACAATAATATAACACATGTTCAATTTTTATTATGCCATCACACAAGTGTATATACAACATCTCCGTGTAGAGTCTGATAAACCATTTAAAAATACATAGGAACAGCAACAAATATGACATTAGTGAGATATTATTTGTACAATATAAATTAAATGGAAAAATGCATTGTATGTGTTAGTAATGTTCTGTTATCTCGCCTATGGCGTTAGAACCTCCTTAAATACAATATTCTTCGTGAAAGTTCCATCCGCTATTATGGTCTTCTTATCCTTATCTTTTTTATTTGATGCATTCTTATTTTTTTCCCTCGACATTCTTTTTAGCATTTTTTTTCTCTATTTTTTTGCCTCCTCCTCTTGTGCCTCCGCATCAGGCGGGAAGACAAGATCTTAATATTGGTTCTTGACGTGGCTCTAGACATTGTAACGTACAACCGACCGTAAGAGAACATGGGTGCGGGTAGGTACACACCCACGTTCGGGATAGTTTGACCCTGTGACTTGTTGACCATCATGACAAAGCTCAGCCTGATAGGAAACTGTTTCGTCTTAAACTGGACCAGGAACATCTCATCATCAGACGGGCATAGCGGTCTTCGAGGAAGGAATACCCGCTTCCCAGCATGTTGCCTCACCACGATTTCCGCGTCGATTGTATTTTTTTGGAACCCCCGCACCACAAGCCTTGTACCGTTGCATAGCCTATTGGTAGGGTCAATATTCCTAAGCAATATAACAGGACACCCGAGCTTGAGCTTCAAGACGTGTGGAGGCAGCACGTGCGTTGCAACTGGAAGAAAACTATACCATGATAATTCAAATTTGAACATGTGTTGTATCATTAAAAAATGACCAATATTCCGTTTATAGCTAATCATCAATATTACATGAGTTCTCACTTAGCATGAACAGTTAGAATATAAAATTTCAAGTTTTAATGTGAACAAATAGAAACATCGAGTCTTATTGATACAATAAAATTATAGTATAGATAATCATTGGATTAAAGATAATCACATAATCAGACCACTGTTGCCAAGTAACACCACTGTTTTACAATAAATTGATTGTCGAATCTGACATCCATGGCTCCTTTGATCAGGCTGTTAGATGTCTACAATTTTTTGGATAAGAAATGTTGGTTTCTTCAAATATATATTTACAAATGTAAATTCACCTTCCAATGAATCGATCTCAAGTTCAGTCTTTTCAATCTCCTTGAAAATGTTTTCCTTCAGTGGCAGCAACTTACATGTACCGGTCGGGTCGTTTGAATCCCCAGATCAATAATCATCATGTTGGATAAGTTCAACAAGCATGTTCACAAGGAAATTAACAGGATCATCACCGAGCTGATCTAACTTGATGCAAATTCATTTTTGAAAGCTTTATCACCAACAAGTATATGAATTTACCCCCTGTACAGCCTATAGTGTAATTAAAAAATTATACATCTGCTGAAAAAATCTTTTGTACCACTCCTTTGTACCTCCACAAGGGCCCCAAGTGGATCTGCTTCAAGAGAGCACAAATGGTTTAGCTATGTAATGCAGCAAGTTCGAACTGAAGATTTGTCTTATGGCCAAACTAAACATGTTCCTGCATAAAATTAAAGTGAGACTGAAACTATGAATGACTGAAGTTGAACAGACTGAACACAAATAAATCAATATAAATATTGGTTGATGGATAAACTGATTGTGTACAGGAAGATGAAAATTCTATTAAGCGAACCATAGAGGTCATCCCATTATTTATATTTATATTCTTATAGTATAGTGCCCGTGCTAGCACTACGGACCATGTTAAGTCAAAAGTTAATTCTAGAACAATATTGGTCTTGCGCCGTGCTAACGATAGTAGTGTGCCATGCTAATGTTGAAACAACTTTGTTTCGACCTAATCATAGCATCTCTAGTCAATGCCATGGCTAACAGAAGTGTGGCATTAAGCCTGAAATTTTATTTCATTGCACTTTTTTTTTGTCTATAACATATCATTACAGTTCATAAACTAAAAGACATTGAATAAGTTAACATGCAGTTATTATAACCCCTCAGGGACCCCATTTTAAATCACACCACTGCTGAATTAAACAACTACATATAGGGCTCCATCCCAGATCAGACCAGAGGTTATGGTCGAAGGATAGACACTTGCAGCAGAAAGAAGCAGCTGTTGTTTACATTGTCAAATGGCACTTCCTATCGGTAGGGCTTGAGATCCTCATTGGAACTACAACTACGTCTATATAATCATATTAAACTAACATGAGTACATGACCAAAACAGGAAATGTATAATACGTATAGTCACATAAGCCACAGCAAGTCAGACAATTTTCGGCATAAGTAATTTGACGGTAATTCTAGATTGGAATACCACAGATCACATGACATTGTAAGTTTGTAAAGATACCTACCTAGAGCAAACAATTTTAAAGACCAAAAGATACCCAAAAACAAAAATAAAAGGCAAAATTAAGAGCACTTGCATTATTATCAGAAAAGAATTGCCTTCTCACTATAGAGCTACCAGCACTGTGTCAGAAGGTGTCCTAAGATTGTTTCGAGGTTTCATCATCTGATACAAAGAAAAAGACTGAGATACAGTTCAACAACGTCAAACACCGAGAGATACAGTTAAGGATGTTAAGGATTCAGATGCAGAGATGTTTGTGTATCACTCGCTCGGCAGAAACCGGCCTTGGATCAAGTGTTGGATTATGCATGAGGATACAATTTTTAAAAAAAATAACAAACAACAATAAGCTCAAGTATTGTTGTAACACGCCTGTTGTGAGGTAGGGGGCTGTGGCGAGGGCAGGGGGCGGCGGCTACGGAGGAGGAGGAGTTGTTCATGCTAAGCTGCTGGAGATTCTCAAGCAAGCTAGCAACATTAGCAAGTTCATTGTTCTTGGACTACATAGCGACCTCTGTTGGCTTTGTCATCTGCAAGTTCATTGTTGCCTTTGAACAATATAAATTTTCAATGAAAAATCCATTCCTCCTACATAGTGAAAAATATCAAATGGAAGTTAAGAGTTCTTGCAGTTACATAGCTCCAGCAGTGTGATAACAGCACTATCAGCATTTCTTAGTAGTCAAATATGTTGCTATTTAAATCCAAACAAAAAATAATTGAGATGTCAGGCAAATACTAAATCCTTCGTTGAGATAAGCCTTAGATCATTGAGACATTTGGTCAAGCAGATCCTGTGCGTGGTTATCATTGCATTCAGCCTATTATGTCAAGTGCCCTCACTTTGATTTGTTGTAGACTTTGGAAATTAGGGAGTCTCGCCATCCAGCAACATAATGGCAAGAACACATCCAACACCTAGAAGGTCTGATGTGTGTGCACTAGAGTTCGACCTCACGACACGTTGACCGAGCTTGTTGTGCTGGAGATGTGCAACGCCTGGGTGTCAGGCTTGGCTTTAATGCGCCTATGATTTTTGTGCCCTGCAAATGCATAACCCAGTACCAACTCAATTAGCAGTAAACATTAGCAAGACCTGATATGATTTCCATCCGTCCCAAAACTAGAGAACTGAAATGGGCATCGAATAAATCACATCTGAAAATATAACCGCACCAACACGAACGAAGACTGAAACATGAAACATGCATTGTTTTTGATTTGTGCTGCGTTTTCGCAGACAAATACCACAGCGAACTGGATGGCAAATACAAACTCAAGAACACAGATCCGATCATTGAGGCAAAAGAGGACCAGCAATCTCCAGGAAAACACATGAATAGGCCATCAGACATCTAGAAGGTAGGAATACAATTCAGAAGGCAGTAAACCATACCTCTCGCCAATCCTTGGTGGAGATTCAGATTTCGGGGATGCAGGCGAGACGGTGGTAGAAGCAGGTTGGCAATCGAGGGCTCCCCTTGCCGCCACCGCCGCCGAGCGGAGGAGCAGCTACCTGGTCTCTCTCCCTCCACAAATCTCACGTGTGCAGACATCACCCTAGG